CCTAGCTACCTGTGTCTAGGCTGATAAGCAAACAAGAGTTTGTAAAGTATTTCTAAACCACTTACACTAAGGTCTTCCCCTTAAAATACAATTCTCAAAAAATCATTCCCTATCTCTCTAAGTCACAACAGACGGTAGTTCAGTTATGAACTTATATACTGATGATAACATACAAGAGTTGGCTGCTGACCCAATGACATTAAAAGCTGCAGCTATAGGGCAGGCAAACTTAAGAAGCTTTAAGCGTTATTTTTGTCAGCAGGGGAATTAACTGAAAGGAAATAAGAAAGCAAAGTGCATTCCCAGGCCTAGACACTTCTGCAAATTCATACTTGCACAGGTTTGGTGCCCTGAAGTAGTGAGTTGCAACATCCTCTGGAGACTGCTTGTTGAAGTTACCCTTCAGTAGATTTCAAGATTCTTGCACAACAAGACAAGGTGGAAAGAGTAGTGCAGGTTCCAATCACTAGCACACAGTTTTTCATCTTGGAGCTTCTCCTGCACACCTTGACTTTAAATGTGGCCAATACAACAGTCTGAACCACATTTCATTCTATTCTTAGTAATCTTCCTGCTCTTTCAGACTACCCATAATAGCATAAAATTGTCATACTTTTCTGAGCAGCAAACCATTGCCAAGTATTATAGACAGGACAAGAGGAAGAAGAAAGGAAGCTATTACATGCCTACACCTGACTTAACTGGAAATATCGTTAATATGAACCTGTTGACTGTTTCTCAGTTGATAGACTGAGTTTTGAGAAATACTGTGGTAGTTCTTCTGGTGCACCAGGAACTGGATTTAAGGACAAAATATTTCACTGCTTAGTTAGAGAAAAAAAAAGTTATTTTATTCATATTCCAAAATCAAATACAAAGTGACTACCTAAACAATATCTAGACAGTTCAACATGCCCAAGTCAGTTCAGACCACTCTTGAAGGATCCTCAAATGTAAGGTAACTAACAAAAGACTATCTATGATTTATGTAGAAGGTTAAACCTCTGAGTTTTTTAAACCATGTGAATACAGTCATCACAGCACGACATAACAATGATCACTGCATGTTTCCTATCAACTAAAGCAGTTAAGTTACAACTCAGTTGACATAAAACAAAACTTTACTTGTTCCTTCTAACAGGAAAAGTCATCTGGGAAGGAAAGTCCCTCTAAACCCTAAATGCCATTGTGGTCATAATTATTTTAATCCTAATTCTTTGAACATGAGACAGCTGCAAAAAAGATGATGCAGCTATCTGTGTTTCTTCTTGTGAGGAGAAGGTCCCAGTACATGAGTGTATCTGCCATCACAAGACAAAATCCCAGTTCCTGTCTGCACATACCTGTATTCAGTTACTGCTGAAGTTATTGCTCTGGTCACACATGTAAACAATGTTAGTCATACAGAAGGCAGTAAGGCAGGAAAGGAAAAGGGAGACCAGGAGCAGAACAGTCTTACATTCCAGGTGAAAATCTAACTGAAGAAGGCTGAGAAGAGCTGAGCATCACCAAGTTCCTCTCTCACACTTGGTCAGAAGGGGACTCACATGATGGCCCAAAGACATCAACAAGACATCAACAAGTCCTCAGGATGTAATGCAGTAATAACAGACTGGAATAAACAATGCTCTACTTATTCTCATGGACTAAGAATCCCAGAGCAGCAAGAAATTGAATACTCATTCTTTTTCCTTCTGTTTTCAAGATAAACTGATCCTTTGGTTCTTCTACTGCACCATAAGTAATCTTCACACAGTTCTCAAAACCCAAGGGTCAGCAAGCATTACAGAGTTTCCAGCAGATTTGCAATGAAGTCTAAATTTGATTAATTTTTGCACACTTTAAGACTTCTGTCCTCACTTATCAAAGTCATGCAGAAATCTGAAAAGGCCCCTCAAATTCATATGCTTTCCTTAACTTCAGTTCAACTATCAGCATTTTATAATGTTTTCTATTTAGAATTTTCGACAACATGGTCCATTTTTGGGACTATTACACAAGAGTTATATGGTCCCTAGTATATCATTGTATGACTCTTTGTTTAGGTCTACACTAGCAGACAGCATAAATAGTAATTACATTTTGCCATCAGAACATAATTAAAATAGACTCAACTAGTAATGGTGTTGAGAAGCGGAAGAAGAAGAAATAGAAGCAGAAGAAATAGTTTTGTTGGAGGAACTCCTCTGTTTCAGAGCTTCTTCCAGCACAGCTGTCACTGGCAGTCACCTCTCTCCACATCCCTAATCAGACAAACATCCACACAAGTGTGTCTATGTTTTTCTGCCTACAGTGAGAATGTCAGCATGGCATTAGTTTACAGGAAGACAGCTGGAGTGTCTGAGAAGCAAGATGTACCCACCTGTAAGAACACACAGAGGATAGTTTACAAGAACTACAGACAATTACCAAACCCGCTTGCAAAACTGCACTATGTAACCAGAACTGCATCATTGAGTAAGAAAGCCTAAAACTAGAAACACATCCCCAACCCAAATGGTGGAAATTAACCACAAAAGACCACTTAGCACATCTGTTCTCATAGTTGAGGTTTTCAGGGTTCAGGATACAATTCAAAGCACTTGATGAACAGAAAAGAATCTTCATGGCACAAGTTTTCCAACTGACTTCAATTTAACTTTGTGTTCAAACACACATTGTGAAATAACCAGGTATATGTGATGCATCAGAAATGAGAAAACAACAGACAACAGGACATAATAATGTATCAGAGACAACACTTAAAGCTACTACATTAATGTTGACTTAGTCTCAATACAAACTGGAATCAACAAATTTAGTGTACCAAATGCTCAGTATTCCTTGACCTAAGATGAGGTGACTCCAATGCTTTCCTAGTTTAATTTGATGGCTTACACAGTTCATTAGCACAGCCCAAACTCACTGATTCTTCTGGTTTCTAAGAGTCTTTTATAGAAAAGGAAGACGTTTTATACACAATGTATGACATGATTTTTTTTACTCTAGAGAGATAGATTGTTGCTGCTGTAATAGCCTCGACTGTTAGCTTGAGCCTACTTCCACCACATTAACAACAGTCACCTTAGCAACAAGGCTGGTTATTCTCTGAATCAAGTCTTTCTATATCCTGGCTTTCCTTCTTTTAGTTTTCTAAGTTAGTGCCACACAAGTAGACTGAGTAAAAAGTCTCATACCTGTCGAGCTTTAGCTGATGAATTTGCTCTCAAACTAAAAAATATTATTCCAAGTGCTGATTTAGTAATTTACTTTTAGACAGACTAAAATTTGTTCTGCCACTCTAAATTACGGTTTCAGTACAGCCCTCTCCCTCTGAGAATAGTCTCCATGTAAGTGACAGGCTGCCATCCTCCCCTTCTCTCTCTGCATTGTAAATATCCATATCCAGTCAAAGCAACAAGCCCAACACAGATCACTCATCTTTATCCTCAAGGAAACGATTCCTTCGGGCCACATGCACAATCTCTAGCTCATCTACATCTGAGCTTGTCTTAACCTACTTGGAAGACTTAAGGGACACCCTAGAGCACCTGGCAAGTTTAAAAAATAAGCAAGCTAAACATTCAAATAAGTTCACACATTTTCTTTTTCATACCTGTAAAATATGGCCTAAAGGTTTGGGGATTTTGTTTGTTAAAACCACATCAATTAAGTTTATGGTCTGCCCCAGTTTCTCCTTCCTCCACCCGAAAGCAGCTGGAGAGGAGAGGAGGGGAGGCCTAACAGGGCTATGATGTCATGATATATTTAAGAAGTGAAACTTGAAATGAGGCTAGGAAGAAACACATTTAATCCAGCATTTAAACACTTTCCTGCTTGAGACTTCACGACTGCCTTCAGCAGCTCAGGAAAAAGCACTGGGAAGGATTTGTCTTCATCTGTCATTTTAGGGACAGATAAGCTAGTTCTACTTCCTCTAGCTTTAAAACAGAAAAAACCCCAAACCACCACCAGAGGAGTGTAAACAGCCAAGCAGGAAGAATCAATACTGACAGTCAGGACACAAGGCACGAGTTTCATGCCTCCCCTGAAATGCCAGGTGTGGGGACTCCAGCTTGCCCAGGAACAAGCAGCTCCCTGCCAGCTGCCGGTTTGCTCGTGTGACGCACACACTCGGGGGAGTACACTGTACCGCTGTGTCAGACACCCCGAAGGCAGGCAGACACCCTCTCGCTGCCCGTGGGGACTGCCACAGCCGAGCTGTCCGCCCGCAGGGCGCTGTCCCACCGGGAGGCAGCGGCAGCCGCACCGGGGCACAGCCGCTACGGGGACCGACTCAGTGGCAGCTCCAGTGCCCGCTTGCAAAGCCTGAGACTACCTGGTAAAATCCTTAGGCTGAACACTTTGTTGCTGTTTAAATAACCGCACTGACTGCGCGGACCGAGCCGTGACAGCGGGACCGGGGAAGACCCCGCTGCCACCGTGGCGAGCGGGGCCCTGTCCCGGCCACAGCCCCGCAAAGCCCGGGTGGCAGGGGAGGGCGCCGAGCCAGCCCGCACCCCCAGCCCTGCCCCAGCCCTGCCCTGCCCGCGGCCGAGCGGCACCAGCCGGGGCGGTACCTTGGCTCGCTGGTCCCAGCTGTATTGAGGCGCCTTCTCCTCGCCGGCCGCCGCGTCCTGGCCGGCTCCCGCTTGCTGCTGCTGGCCGCTCTGGGCCGGCTTCCTGCGGCGGGAAAAGAAACACCCCATGGCGCTGCCGCTGCCGCCGCCGCCGCCGCCCGGCGGAGAGAGGCTGGGAGACGGGGAGTGCCCAGGAGATGAGAAGCGCCCTCCGGAGCCGCGCCGCCCCGCCCCGCCGGCTTCCGGTTTTCCCCCGTCTCCCGTAGCGACCGCGACATTTCCCCCCGCCTTCCCCGTCCCCGCCCCGTCCCGATCCGGCCATCCCCGCAGGCCCGGGGAGACGCCTGCTCAGCGCGGTGCCTGGCAGCGGGAAGGACGCCGCCGGAGGCAGCGCGCCCCGGTCATGAGGGAGCCGGGAGGAAGCGGGAAAACGTGGTTTTCCAGTGACTGCGAGGGTTCCCCCGCGCCAGTCCCGCGGGAGCGACTCCGGGGACGCGGTGGCTGCTCGTGAAGCCTCCGCCCTACCGGGGTGGGACGCGTGTCCCGCCCGGAGCCGTGCCGGGGTTCATCTGTGCAAGTCGGAGGCAAAAATGTCCGTTGCGGCGTTTTAAATTCAAACGGACTGACCCTCCGTCACGGCGAGTCCCGGGGGTGCAGGGCCTGGGCCCCTCGGCACGCCTGACACCGCCGTGCTCGCCCTGCTGGGAGGGCTGCCCCAGAAAACCCGGCTTCTTGCAAGTATTCAAGAGCAGCAGCAGTGGCAGCATGAGAACCGCCAGCGCCCTGCAGCTTTGTGCGTCTTTTTGCAAGTAGTCGGCCTTCCTGTGTGGGTTGGGGTTTGTGAGATTGTTGATTGGTTTGGTTTGGTTTGGTTTGGTTTTTTCACCAGAGGTAAAAAACACACAATTTTTTTGTTAGGCTGTGCAACCATTCAAAGGCATTTTCCCTAAGATTTTATAGATTTGACTCTTGCGGTTGAGAGGAAAGATTTCAAAATTATCTCTGATGCTTTGTTACCGATCGGGGGATTGGGATTGGTCAACTGCCCGCCCAGATATTCACTCACTGCCCCTCTTCAACAGGGCAGGGAGAGAACGACTGGAAGAGCTCATCGGACAAAATAAAGACAGGGAGATCATTTGCTATTTACTGTCACAGGTAAAATTAACTTGTGAAATTAGGGGTTTTTGCCAATTAAAAATAGAGCTGAACGGTGAGAAACAAATACTAAATGAAAACAAAACCTTCCCACCACCCTACCACTTTCATCCCTCCATTTACAACTCCTCTACCTGTGCAGCACCACGCCCCAAGCAGTGCAGAGGAACTGGAGAATGAGGGCTGCAGCCAGTCCTTAATAGTTCCTCTTTGCTCCTCCTTCTCCTCATACTTGGCTCTAGTGTAGGTTCTTCCACGGGCTGCAGTCCTCAAGAACTACTCAGGCATGAGCTCTTCATGGATGCAGTTCCTTCAGAAAATATCCATCTGCTCCATTTTGGGGTCCTCTAAGAGCTGCAGTGTGGATATTTGCTCCACTGTGGTCCTTTGCATGGGAAATCCTTGCTCCAGCACCTGCAGCACCTCCATCCTCTCTTTCTTCAACCTTGCTGTTCACACTGCTCTTCCTCACATTTTTCCCCCCTCACTCCTCTCTCATCTCACTCCTATGTAGTTGGTTTGCCCTTCCATAAATATGTTTTCCCAGAGGTGCTGGGAGCTCAGCCATGCCCCATGATGGGTCTGTTGGAGCTGTCTGGAAGTGGCTGGAAGTGTCCAGCATGGGGCAGCCCTGTTTCCTCACAGAGATCACCCCTCCACAGCCCTCCACTGCCAGCACCTGGCCAGCCACACCCAGTACATACCCACCAACAAAACTTTAGAGCCATTTTATATTAAACAAAGGAGGGCATTCCTGCTGTAGGAGCAGAAGAAGAGAGGAGAAGCCCGGGAAAAGTAGCAGAGAAATGCTACTTTTGCATTTAGTTGAGCAGGCTAAAAGGCTTGCCCAGCTCAGAGCCTTGGGGACAGCAGAAAGGAGGAAGTGAGACTAATTGCTCAGACATGGTTGCTAAGGAAGAGGGGTGACCGACACCATTTTTGGTGTCAGCTGTACTGTGAAACTGTATGCCTGGGCAGATGTGAAGGCTGCTCTGAGCTTTTGGAGTTGCAATTCAAGTTAATAGCTCAGTCAGCGCTACCCACAGCACCACTAAGTACAGTTTTACATCTCAGTCACAAAGTGGATTTGCTCTATGAACCATTTGTCTGGGTTTCTTGGGTACTGACTGTCTGGATCCTGCTCTTTCATTGAATTCTCTGTGCACCAGCTCTTTCCAAAATGTGTTCAACTAGGACAGTTTGAGACAGTTTGCAAATGCAGAGAGTCTAATACACCCTCACCTCTTCTAGCTCACTCTCTGAAAGTCTACCAGTCCTCCTAGACCCCTGTGTGTTTCATATAGATTAGCTAAGTTCTGCAGTCTTTTCACAACCAGGCTTCCCTTTCTGTTGCACATCCTTTTAAAAAATTGATAAAAAGAATAAAAAATAACATTTGATGCATTTTTGTTAAAAGCTAAAATACCATTTAATTAATCTTCACAAAATCTAAAACTACATTACCAGAATATTGTTACCTCACATTAATTAATGGATCACCTGTTGTAACAGAGAACTTTTTACAGTCTGTGTGTGTAAAGAGACTTCTTTCCCTGCTGAGATGCACACAACTTTACAATAGAAATACCTCACCACTCCTGTCAATAATGCTTCAGAAGGTATTTAAATGCAAGACAAAAAAAAAAAAAAGGTACTTTTACATTTTTAATGAGAAGATGCAAGGCAAATGCAAATTTCTGAGTTACAATTTTCCCATGCTGCTATGACCAATATACTTGTCTTGCAAAATTATCCATCCCATAGACATACAGGATTTTTAGATCACTACAGCTTATCAGGAGAGGCCATAGGTTTTATCTCTCTGGCACAACACAATCTCTCATGCTCCAGGGTGTTTCCTGACAGCAAAGTCCCAGAATAATTAATTATTCCTGAGCAAATTAATATGACTTGTGATTTATGAGAAAATGACTTCTTAAGAAATTACTAATGCCTAGTTCAGTTCTTGACTCTCTCTTCTTATGCCAATCAGACCCAACCCTCTTGGCTTCTGAGATTTGGTACAGTCATAGCCTGAAGTAAAGTAATACAAGATTGCAATAATATCATAGTCACTACCAACCATCACTATACTTACCTTAACTTCAGCAAACTGCTGTAATTAGTGATTTCCCTTGTGGGGATGTTGTGAAATATATCTAATTACAGTGTAATACAGAGTTTTGTGATCTCCAGACAGTGGTTTCTAGGTAACTGAAAAGTAAACCATTTTCATTGTAAAGGTTATATTCTAAAGGTTTTGGTGAGAGAGACTTGCCATATCCATACCTTCTGGGCACATGCAGCTTGCAAGGAGCCTTTAAGATCCTTGCTGTCCTTCTCAGGAAGGCAGTGATTCTGTTTCAGCAAGAAAGGAGTCCTGCTGGGGCAGATGGACAAAGCCTGTATATGGGCTATGTCTCTCTATGGGCTGGCTGTTATCCCCACATTGCTTGGTAGTGCTTGCATGCCCGCAGATAAGATCCTAACTCCATTTCCTCCTTCTCTTGTTTGACACTCTTGTGCATCACCCAAAAAGCACGGGGAGGGAGCTGTTCTCAGTAAACCTCAGGACCTGGAAACCTGCCCAGGTCTTGAGCAGGTATGGTAGGGAAGCAAGAGCTCACTGTGTGTGCATCTGCACTTCTCCAAACACAGATCAGAATCAGTTTGTCTCAGTGCTGTTGGAAGCTTGACAAAATGCACAAAGCCAAACTTTCACAATTTTCTTCTTAATGAAGTTCATTGTATTCTGTGTGTGTCTCTTAAAGCTCTTGAAATCATATCTTTGTGACAAAATCTGAAGTGTGTCTTGTTTAAAGCAGGTTTTTAATCCTGTTCGTTGTTGAGAAGACTTTGAAAATATCATCTCTAAGACATGACAATGAAAAAAATATCTTAAATGTTCTTACTTTCTAAAAGCTCATTTCATGTTTTCTATCAACAAAGTATATAAATCCTGTACTCAAGACCCTAGCAACTTACCTAGAATTGGCATAAAGCCTTGAAAAGGATTCCTTGTTAAAATTAGATTCCCCCATACTCATACAAAATGTGAATTACAGATGAGACAAATCCTTCCACAGTATTCAATTCCTTACATAGTATTAATAGAGAGGAAGGGAAGGATACTTTACTTCTTCTGTGAGGCCATGTTCTGATAGAGCAGAACTGGTACAGAGAGCATCTCTTGCTTCGAACTAGTTATTTAAGTCCCCAATCACCTATGCAGTGGGACAGCCCAAATGTTTGTACAGACATGGTAAACTGTGTTGGGAAACCAATGAACGTGTAAAACAACCATTTCAATCAGATATCTGTGCATTTGGTCTCATAGAGACAGACACTTTTTTTCCTCCTTTTTTTTTTTCAGAAGCAGATGAAGAATATACGGAATAGTATTTTCACACAGCAGTCATTCACACATACTGTGTGACCACATTGGCCTTTTTTGGTCTTTGTAGCAGATTCTTTACTACTGGAGGCTCTTGGCAGACTGAACACCAACAGAAGCTAGTCTGGAACTTATGACCAGGTGGAAAAAATAACATGGTACTAGAATCTATTTTCCATTGCTAGTAGTGATTTGGGACCAATGTCCTCACAAGTTTTTGAGCAATATATGGCTTTTCAGCATCTCCTTGCAAATAGAAATTATCCCTGGTCACCAGTAATTTTCTGAATCAAACTGCTGCTGCTCAACAAGGGAATGCTTTTTTGTAGTTGTCCCCAGCGTACAGTCTGTGATACACAGCTTTAATGCTGGCATTCTTTGAGTGGGAACAATGGACAGGTGTGCCCATGTCCCAGGTTACTGTGAACTATATGCTATGACAAGGAAAAGCACAAACAGTCAGACTAAGTAGTTCATGCTTGCTAACTTGTTTGTTCAGAAATTACCTTCCACATATTCCCAACATGAATTACCTTCCCTGTAAGGAATTATATCATGTCTACAGATCTTTTTCTGTTCCTGGTGTTTGGGTGTGCTGATTTTGTCTGGGATAGAGTTAATTTTCTTCACAGTGGCTGGTATGGGGCTGTGTTTTGGATTTGTGCTGAACCCAGCGTTGGTAATGTAGAGATGTTTCTGTTATTGCTGAGCAGTGCTAACACAAGGCCAAGCCCTGGTGAGGGAGTTGGGGTGTGGGGAAGGTTGGGAGGAGTCACAGCCAGGACTGGTGACCCAAACTGACCAAAGGGCTATTCTGAAAAATATGACATCAAGCTCAGTATATAAGGCTGTGGGGAAGAAGGAACAGGGGGGACATTTGGAGGTATGCCATTTGTCTTCCCAAGTCACCATTAAACATGATGGGGCCCTGCTTTCCCAGAGATGGCTGAACACCTGCCTGCCCACATGAAGCAGTGAATCAATTCTTTATTTTGCTTTGCTTGTGTGTTTGGCTTTTGCTTTCCCTATTAAACTGTCTTTATCTGGCTTTTACCCTTCCAGTTCTCTCTTGGATCCTGCTGGTGTGGGAGTGAGCAAGTGGCTGTGTGTGTCTTGGTTGCTGACTGGGGTGAAACCATGACAGGAACAAAGGTGAGCAGAGTTCTGTGCAGTACATGAAACACAGACCGACAGCACAGTATTTAAAATCATTCTTAGAGGACACTACAAAGAACCACAAGTAACTTCAGAAGGTTTTTTATCGAAGATCTAAAGAGTCAATACTTTTTAAAAGGTATAAATTAAATATTTTGGCCAAAGGAATGAAAGAATATGTCCTAATAGTAGCATAATGGACAACATAATGCATGATACAAACCCAACATTAATTCTGAACTTTGCCGTAAGCCATCTCTGTGACAGAAATTCTGCAGCTGTGAAGGTCACAATCTGCTTAAGGGCTGCTAATGTATTGAGTGCACTTACTCAAACAGGGTACAATTAAGTTTTCAGCTATAAAGCATATTCTTATTCAGCAATTACAGGTTCATAGATCTTGCATAAGAGTCTATATCCTAGATCCTGTTTTGTGATATGAAGAGCTGCCATCATCAGGGTGTTGCCTGACATTCAGTTTGCTTGAAAACCTTGTGTTCCACCCAAGGCTCTGGCTGAGGCAAACAGACTCTTCAGTTTAATGTTAAATGAAAATAAAATGTAATGACATTAAAGTTTATGAAGTGTATCTTTTTAGTTCATGTTTAATAGGGCAAAAATTCAGATCACTGGCTACAGTGCTGATTCAGCAAGGCATGTAGGCACATGCTAAAACCTACCAGATTTCAGTGGGATTTGAGCAAGTGCAAAGAGTTAGTCACATAGATAAAATTAAGATGAGTTTTAACAGCTTGCTGCATCATAGCCCAGCAGCCCTTATATTCTTCCCTAAGCTCAGAGGATGTTTTTTGTTCTAAAGAGATCTCTAGTTCCCTGTGTATCCCAGTTAAAATTGACAGGATCATCTGCCGGCATCTGCCTCCAGTTACATCTCTTTATCCTTTATCCAGGTCTCTAGCACCTAACACTGGTGTGCTCAGTGGAGCACTGTTCTAAAAGTAGTGTCTGTGAAAGTATCCCTCTGTCACAATCCTAATGTGGGAAAGTCAAGAAAGCTCTGAGTAAATGTGGTCTGCTCTGAACTCTTAATACATTGATACTTTTTAGAGCCTTTTTGTCTGTAGGAGAATAGAGTTTTATTTGTTGAGGTTTTTTACTTGCTTAGTGTTTGACATAATACCAATCCTCTTTCACTGTTGGTTTCAGCTGTTGCTGTGACACAGAGGAACAATTGCTGAGACCTGGGGTAAAGACTGTCTTCCTAATTCTAGTGCAGAAGACCATCACGAATGGGTAATTGCAGGTGGCATGTTAATTTGTTATTACACAATTTATCATAATTTGTCTATCGGAAATTTTATTTTACATTGTTGCACAGTTCACTGATGTTTTTCCAATTTTAAAAGCTCTTAATATTAATTTTGTGGGATGGCTTTATCTATGGTGCCAACCTGCCATGCATATTGTCCTTGTGGGCGTAACAGTGGCTGCCTGATGCTCCCAATGTGACTGGCAAAAAGTGACAGAAGTAGGATCTTCAACAAAAATGTAGAAGACATCACTGATCCGACCCTTGTTGAAATCCTGGCAAAATACACTCAAGAACTACAGCAGTGCTGTACTCTGCTTACATTAACTTTAAGGAATTACACAGGAATCTGTAACCCTGAACAACCCACACATAGGTCAAGACTTTTATCAAACTTCATCAGAACAATAATGAGACAGTGAATCAGATCTAAAATAACATATAAATATTCAGTGTTAACTGTAAAAAAGTCCTGTTATTAAAGTAAACAAACACAGGATTCTATTTGTTTAACCTTTTCTTCCCTTTCTGTCTTACAACATAACATGCAATAAACATTCTGGAGACACTGTTTTTGGGAATACTGCTACGTCACTGTAAGACTCTGAGGAATAAATTAGTTAAATTGTTGATAACACATAATAGCAAGGGATACTGCAGAGACAGCAGATGGAAAGAAAATACTGGAGTAATTATTATTTGGAAGAGTTTAAACTCTAAAGCTTGCTTGAATGTTAGGAAGACTCACATTAAGGCTGGTTTTCAAATAATGTGGTTTGCACCAAAGGAGCAAAAATGTTCCATATAAAAATCAACAAATTGCAACAAAGTTGTTCTCAGACACAGAGCAACTGGGATGGAATAAAAGACACGTTCTCTTGCAAAATAAACCAATTCACATGTGGAAGAACCTTCCTCTCAATCCATACAGATTCTGATATTGTAAGGTGAAATCCCAAAGGAAACCTGTGATCATAAACAGAGGTAAATACACCCCACATAACCTACATGTAATTAGGCAATGTGATCCTGCATTAAAGGTCAAAAGAAGGGAAGCACAGCCACGTCAGGATAACCCGGTGCAGAGCTGACCAATAAACAGTGTGAAAATGCCTTTGATTTAAGGCAAATGAAGTCTTTTCTCATTCAACCCCCTGCTGTTTTGATGATTTTCAATCCTTCTCTTCCTAGGAGCTCAGGGGTTATTCAACCTGCAGTAATCTCTCTAAAATTTTTTCAAGAGAGGCATCAGGACAAGGTCAAATGAAAAAAGGAACTGAAGTCCAATAATGATAAGTGACTTTGGGGCTCACACTTTACTCTGTTTCAGACCTTTTCAGCACGATCTATGTCCCCAGAAGAACAGTCTAATAATTGCCTCTGGTTTTAATCACATAAGGAAAAACCTCTCTCTCCTGTACTTCTGCTAGTGGTTGAACATCTTCAGTACTGGCAAATTATCAAACAGTGCCTTTTTTTTCTTTTTGAGTTCACAATATACACTGGGATCCAGTGCTGGCAAACAAATTAGATTCCTGGGTAGATTTCCTAGTATGGTAGGTCCCCTAGTTAGATATGGAACTCTGAGTTTGTCACCCAAAGCAATCTTTTTGTAGGCAGTGGGAAAAAACTTTGGGATGGCAATTGCACTCAGGTAAGCACTTTTGGATGGCAGATAACCTGAAGTACCTCAGCTTTCAATTTTTCTTTCTTAGTAAAGTCAACAAAGGGTGATGAACACACTTAGACACCAAAACTTTAGACAAGGCCGTTTTAGGTAAATCACACTTTTTGTGTGCAACTGTTTATCATGTATTATTTTCAGCATTGCTGTACATAAATGAAACCACAGTCCATTGCCTGAAAGGGCTTACATCTGGAAAGCAGCTAAGCCAAATCATCTCACACACACAATAAAAGGTCAATTCAGCTCACACACACATTAAAGAGGTGCCCACTATAACAAACCTGCTTCACACAACTGGCTAAATTATACTCACTTGTTATTTATGAAGTTATTAATAATATATCTATTTAGATAAATATAGTGAATAAATAACCCTGAATTATACCCTGAAATAAATCCATTTAAAATCTTATTCAGGTATACAAAAGGGTTAGAATTTAAATGCTTTTTAAAGATAAGGTAAGCACAATATTAATTTTCTGGATTAAACTGTTTTGTGGTCAATTTTTTATATTGCCTATTTAAAATTACTTGCTTTTAAAATAATTTGCTTTGAAGTTCCTCTCTCTATTTTGCAGTTATTTACACACCAAAGGACTAAAGAGGAAATAGTAGAAAGCAACAAGAAAATCATTAGAAAACATCAAAAATACAGCCAGGTGCCATGAATGTGAAAGAAGCTCACTAGAGAAAAGCCCCAAACCACAGAATGTGAGCGAAACTGAACTTAAATGTAAATAAAACAAAATATGTCTTCCATAATGAGACACTGCACTTTGTTGAAATGTCAATGCATCTCTCTCGGCTGTGGCAGAGCACTGAAATACTTTCCACGGATGGGGTGTTGGGCACTGACTCATTGCACAGCTCAGGATGGCTCAGAGGTCACAGAATATGATGGGATAACTTGTCTGTGTCATGATGTCCTGCAACCTGCTGGCTGTTCTGCCGAGAGGCTGCATCAGCAGCTCATGGGAGAAGGCTTGGTCTCCTCCCACCATTCCTGTGGGAAAGCCTGGCTTCCAAATCACACAGTCAAGTTCAGTGTTTTCCGTTGTTACATTTGTTGCCAGTTCCACCTCATCTTCATGCCAGTAGCTTCTTTCTGAAAGACCTGCTCCTGACTGTCCCCTGATGCCAAAGTCAGTATCCCAGGCAATAGGTCGTTTCTAGTTTCCTTTTCTTACTGTGGGGACTCCAAACCCTCTGAGAGGATGTCAGCAATGATGGTTGCACCTCTTCAAGGGAATAGGAGTCACAAAACCAGGAAAACTTCTGACATCATTTTTTATGATATGCATATTATATGCTGAGGTTTATATGCTCAGCATATAAAGTTAAGGGGAAGAAATATAAGAGGGGGAACATTCAGAGTGGTGACATTTTTCTTCCCAAGTCACCATTATGCATGATGGAATCTGGCTTTCCTGGAGATGACTCAGTGGAAAGCAGTGAATTAATTCCTTGATTTGTTTTGCTTGAAGGCATGGGGTTTGCTTTCCCTATTAAACTGTCTTTATCTCGAACCGTGAGTTTTTTTTGCTTTTACCCTTTGGATTCTCTTCCCCATCCCGCTATGGGGGAAGTAAGCAAGTAGCTGGGTCAGGCTGAGCTGCTGGCTGGGTTTAAACCATGACAGCAGGAAAGATTAATGATGATGTGTTATTAGTTGACAATGAAAAAACTGCTGCAAAACATTTGTTCTGCTGTTTGGAATTTCTGCTAAATTAAAAATTTTCTCAGTCTTATCCTGGCAATGGGACAAAAGTTGGGCTCACATAAAGCTGGCAGTAAGGTGGGGTACAGCAGCATTAAAACTAGCATGTATGTGATAGCTCCTCTGTGACATTGGCTTTTCCTCAGCCTCATGAAACTGTGACTGACTTTGACAGTGCCTTGGGCTTAATACCACTAGAGGTCATGCGGTGTCCTTATTATCTAAGCTGCTTTTGAAAAATGCTCTAATACCCACATCTAGTAGGTGTGTTTGTACTGCCTGTATTTGCAGACACTGCTTTGGCCTCTAGATGTCCCAGCTTTGTATGCATGTAATAACCACGTCACAATAAATCACCCCATCTATTCTACTGCTCAAACTTGGAATTTATCTTGTCTAGCACACAACAGGAAATTGGGAATATGCAAATACTATTAACATGAAAAACCTTCTCCATAGAATAAAGTATTCTATTCACTAAGATAAGGAATAAAAAGGAAAGACAGTTCAGCATAACATCAAATCCTTTCCTACAATACTTTAAGTTGTGACTGTCCTTACAATACCAGTTCTGTCTGACCTGACTGCTGTGATGCTGATTCCACTAACATGTTTGTCTTGGACCTTTCCTATCTTGAAGTTACAGCTTGAGATTATATTGATTGCATCTCGAAGCAGCTGACAACTACTCTCTGTCTTTTGATTTCAAACCTTTTGTGTCTTTCTTCTCGCTGTCTTTGGCCAGCAGCCTAGAAGTCAATAAACAACAAACACCTTACCTGTATCAAGCACATGAAAGCTCCGTATAGAATAGGCATGATTTAGGAAGCTGTCAGACTTCACATTCTGTCACAGCTTGGCCCAGCCCTACTATCATAATTTTTCCTGTAGATGCAGATATGTCGTGAGAGGGTTCGACTGTTGGAACCAGTGTATTTCTCCTTAGAGCTTGCCAGTGGTATTAGCCAGGGTCCATCAGGAGCTAAAACTTGCCCAATAGCCCTGCCTTCACTAGCCCAAGTTTGCTTATTTTTGGAAAAGGGCAACCAGTTCCCAGTACTGGCAGCACCTGGTCTTATTCTGGAATAATGTCTCATTGTCATCTTTCAGCCAGGCAGACCCTCCTGCCTCCCGGCCTTGGGATGCTCACCAGTAGTGTGGAACTGGCTATCTGCGTAGCCTTTTAAAAAACATGTCTACAAATTTCCTACTTGATTTGTCAGACTCTGCAAAATGAGACAGTATTAGTCAATCAGTTCTTTAGTTTCCACAGTAATAAAAATTTACAATTAAATTGTTCTCATCCTTTTGAAACACTAATCTCTTAGACTTTCATCAGTCCGAAAAACTCTGGAGATAATTATTGCTGACCCTCTGGTAAGCTCGGTTGGTTAGAATATTGTGCTAATAACAGAAAGGTTGTGGGTTTGATCCCACATGGGATGGGCCATTCACTTAAGAGCTGGGCTTAAAGATCCTTGAAGGGTCCCTTCAAACTCAGAATATTCTGTGAAATTGTTATTAAACAATGATGTTGCATTCATAATCTCATAATTGATAATCTAATCTCATTCTATCATACATTGATAATCTCATCAAGGTACATAAATATCTGAGGGGAAGGTGTAAAGGAGATGGAACCAGGCTGTGCTCAGTGGCAGGACCAGAGGCAATGGACACAAACTGAAACACAGTACTTTCTCTCTGACCATCAGAACACAGTTTTTACTCTGAGGGTGACTGAGCACTGGCACAGGTTGCCCAAGGGGGTGTGGAATCTCCATGCTTGGAGTTGTTTAAAGGCTGTGTGGACACGTTTCTGGGCAATTGGCTCAAGGTGGCCCTGCTTGAGCAGGGCAGTGGGACAAGGTGGACTCCAGAGATCCCCTCCAACCCCAACCATCCTGATTACTGGCCAGTTAACTGACATTCTGTCAGTCTCTTAATAAGTTATTTCTAATCTATGCGGGAGATTGCTTAGATTGTAAAAATTGACTGTATTATTATATTGTTAATAGTTCAGCCCTTTCAGCAGAAATAGAACCTATGGCAGGTAAGTTATACCTTTGCACCTCTAGTTATACGTCAGACCTCTAGATGTTTATTCAAAACTGCAGAGCACAGTGTCCAGCATGATGGACATTTATCACTCAAACTCACTCTTCCATGGATGTTTTAGGGTCTCACATTTTTAGGAGAATGGTTGTCCACACAGCCTTTAAAGAACTCCAAGGATGGAGATTATTTTCCTGTAGAAAAAACATGAAGTTTTCTGTTTGGTTGGTCGGGGATCCCTCCCCCCAGAACGAAAGCAAACTTATGCAACTTCAGATATATCTTCTCAAGACGGATCTAACCTCTTTGCTTTGTATGTATAACCATGGCTCTGAGCTGCCTAGTTCAGATAAACCCAAAATATGTAGCATAACTTTGCTTACAAGGATTCATTTCCTAGCCTATGCAATGCCCACAGATGCACATATCAAGCAAAACCAAGATTTAATAATTTTGAGTTTCTGTTTCTCTGTCAAGAAGATAACAGAGGCCTTCTCCAGGAGAGCTTTGTCAGAAGATTCTGTATAACTGTGCAAATATAGAACAGAAATATTTTACAACAAATTTGAATACCAAGACACTGCACCCACATTTTTTCCTAATCTTTCCTCCTTTACGCTTTAGAACTGCATTTGAGTAAACCTTCCAAAGGCACTGTTTCTGGTAGTGATCAACTGACAACTGACACTAACAGAGCATCTATGTGCCTGCATGCAGTTTCAAATTATGTTCACATTACCCCTCATGAGTCTAGACAAGATAAGTTTTGCACAGAAAGCTAAGTTGTAATTCACTTTCCTCAACTGAGGCTCATTTACTCTTTTCCAGAACTTTTTTCAGACTCTCCTGGGACAAGCTGAGCTGTGGCACTAGGATATTCACTTGTTTTAATATTTATGGGGAATATCGCGGGAAGTGATGAGTGATGCTAAGAGTGATTGCTTGGATGCTTCAGTGAGCAATTGCAACACTGAAGGTCATAACTGTGATTTGCACCTGCAGAGGGTAATGAACTGCTTTCTTCTGAGGAACAAGAGACAACCTGCTTTGTCCCTAGTGGGATGACACTTCCTGAGATCATATAGAGCTAGAAGGGGAAATAATCCTCTTTGGGTATAAGGAAAATGGCAGAGCACCCTTTGATAGATAAAGCTTCTAGTCATATCTTTCTCAAACACTTTAAAAGCTTACCACGAAATAAAGCTGTGAGACATGGCTGCACAGTGCCAAACTCTTGCACCTAGCATGGAAGAGCTTTTACTCCAGCTAGACTTTTCTCTACTGGAAAGGCTAATTATGATTTCTGCACTTGCACTGATGGAAAATGAGAGTTCTGGTGTTTCTCAGCTATCTGACACCTCTGAGGAACTAGTACTAGCAAAGAAATGTGTCACAATTGTTAACATTTCCAAAAAACTGGAGATTCAAACAAATTTGTTTTTCGGTAAAAATATGACATGTTCTTCAGAATTTAATTGCAGAACACTTAGTTGTCTTCAAACTCACATCTCAGTGGAGCATGTTTTATGGGATCCTGGGGTGTGCAGATATCTTATGCAGGCACACAAGAGTAGCCCACAAGATATTCCCACTATTGCCAGAATTTGGCTATAGGTTCAAAATTGGTTGCCATTTAAATCACAGTGACAGGAGAGTTTGATTTTCAAAGGGAAGAAAGGAGAAAGAAGGCAAAGAAAGGAGCGTGGCTGACAGGCTAGCTGCTCTGCAAGGCTGACCTGCCTACTAATCAACCTGTTACTGCACTCTGGATTAATGTGCTAGAAAATGTGAGTGTGCAAAGGCAGTTGCATAAACATGTCACATATTAAGATAAGGATTTGTTTGATTTTCCGGTTTATTATAAACCCAGGTGACTGTGAGGCCTTTCTGTATCAGAATCAGTACTACAACGGCATGTTAGGTCAGTGAAGGTTTCAA